GGAATGGTGTTCACAGGATAGCCTAATTCTTCACACCCTCTTCTTAAAACAGCATTATTGAAACCTTCTTCATGAATATCAGATTGAACTCCCATTTTCTCACACACAACATCTAATGCTTCTTTGTATAATTTACTGTCAAATAACTCGAGGTCGTAGCTTTCACTCCATTCATTGATCACATGTTGTGGGGTCTTAATTGAAGCTGACCAATTGATTGTAGAACCTCCACCAACAGTAGAGCCTGCAAGAACAACCACTCCCATATCATCGCTGGCTAACATACCTCCACCTAAGTACATTTGATCCATTGACGGTCCTTCAAGAAGTGAGAGATTGTTTCTTGCAAAATAGTTTCCTTTCTCCAAGACAAGCACTTTATAACCAGCTTTTGCTAGAACCCCAGCAGCCACACCACCACCAGAGCCAGAACCAACTACTACTGCATCACATTTGATGACTAAACTAGGAGTACTAGGAGAAGAGTGCAGTGATGAGTTAACGTTTTTACGGTGACGAATGAAGACAGGGAATCCAAGCTGACGCAGGGAGTCTGCAACTATATCCCTTGGAAGGCCGAGATTAATGAGGCCTCTGTAAAGAGGTCCAAAGAGATGCTCTTCTTTGCAGTCTTGTTCATCTTCAAAAACATCGTCGTCGTCGTCTTTTATTCTTGCATATAATGTTTTTGGCAGCCTGCAGGTTTGTGTTTGTCTTTTGAGTGCTGCTGGGTCAGGCCCTGGATAGCCTATGGCTTTCCATGTCAAGTTCTCATTCTTGTCATCTACCTGAAAATCAATGGATATTTGCAAGTTAAATGCGTGACATTGATTGAAAATTATATTCCGTAGGCTTAAAAGTAACAGAAAATTAAATTAGGCCAAGCCCAAGCCCAATATAGTTGAAGGATTTCAATATTAGCCCAACTTAACATCTTAATATCTTGGGTGGTCTTCACTGAGCCCAGGTAGCCTTTATCATCATCTAACTTGTTTCTTCGTATGGTCGATAGTAAGAGAAAACAAAAAATAAAATAAAACACTACTATAATAGTATAATTAAGGAGCAAATAATTAATTAAAGACCAAATAGCTCTTAATTTGCTTTCGGCCCCATATATATGGTCCATATTGTAAACTTTTTCTCAAAAAGAATATGTTTCACCTTTTTTTGTTTTTTAGTTTTTTGGTAATATATATAATCAAATTGAATTCACTAATCTCTGTCCAGAATATAATATGAATAGATACGAGGATTTATTGTAATAAAAATTGAATATACATACACACACATATATATATATGATGCATGCTTTCAATTTTATTCATTTATTTATTTAATCAACAACAAAATAGAATAGATAGGTAAGTCATTTCAATCATAATGCATGGTGATGTAGATAATAAATGAAATTTGAAATCTAAATCTCATTAGTCAACGTTTTATAGAGAATTCATTTAGTGCTACCTAGCTTGCTAGAATCTGTGTTGGCTTTTCAATTATATATTTGACTCTTCGAGTATTCCGCACTTGTTCAAGGTAAGGAATTAACGAATTAAATCTGATTCTTATCTCGATGAAGTATATGGTAATTAAATATTAAAGTACCTGAGAGAAAAAGACGAGTGGTATGAGAAGCTTGATGGATTTGAAGAGCATCCTGAGGAGATGGAAAAAGCTGAAAGACCAAGAAAGCAGTATCTGTTCTCTTTTGTTGTGAGAAATTTGAGAAAATCTCTGGAAGTAGGGGAAAGAGGGTGAAATGCTGGGTAGCCCACACAATACGAAGGTACCAATCCATGTAGATAGCAAATACAGCGACAATCGTATCAACCACTTCTTGGGATGCTGCAACCTCTCACAAATCAACCCTCCTACCTGCACCAGTAGTACTATTTTATATTAATGTACGTACGTAGTCAAAGTTAGACTAAAAAAAGAAGCATATTCGTCACACATATATATAGTTTTTTGCATGGATCCCGGCCAGATGTCAATATATATTTAAATACATCTAGGCAGCTAAAAAGATCATCAGCAACTGCAACAGCAGTGACTATCTTGGTTGCTGCTTGATGCATGATTTCCGTGAAGCTAGCGTAACTACTTTATTAGTCTGATCCATGAGACGATGACCATACTAGATCAGGAATTGCCAAATTAATTAAGAAAGACAGAAAATAAGTATCGTGTGCCTGTTCTTCTGTACAGTTTGTACAATGAAAGAAACAGGTTTTAGCAGATTCAAACCTCCTTAATTAATAATTTTTTAATAAATAAAAAAATGCATGGCCGCCAGTTGGGTTCGTGCATGCGAGTAAAATGGGTGCAAAACACGTGGGTTTGTTTGCTAGCTAGGATGTGTCAAACGTACACGTTCAGGAGTTCCGGCCATGGAAGCAGAGTATTTATAAAATGTAGACATAGTGTTGCCCGCGTCGTCGTCGTCGTTGTCATCGGTTGTGGTTGTGGTGGCGGCGGCGATCATATTGCTGCTGTAAATGGATGGGAAGAGGGTGTCGCAGAGAGCGGTAAGGGATTCCATTTCTCTAGAAGAGAGCGAGTTGACATACAAGTACTGCTTCTCTCCCCCACAAACAGTCTCTGTGTATCAATGCTTCCTAAATCAATCACCGCCGATAATGCTTCTTGCAGCTCTTCTCTTACTCGATCCATATACTATCTTAATCAATTAATTAATTATCTTGCAGAATTATTTATATATATATATGTGCAAGCTTACAGCTTATATAGCTGAGTGCATATATATATATATAGAGAGAGAGAGAGAGAGAGAGAGAGAGAGAGATAATCTGTGAGCAAGTGATTGCTTTATGCAGTACCCACACAGAGGCATATATAGAGAAGTGCAATTTTATTATTTTAGTACTCCTAATTCCAGACTAAACAAGCTGGCTAAGTTGTAGTAAGGTAATTGCGACTGCAAGTACATGTGCAACAGTCGAGGACCCAAATTGGGATCATGCAAACTGGCTCCTTGGTCATTTAAAACTGTCAGCAGCCTGCCACCAATAAATAATCCCCCACTTAATTAATACAACCACACAACTTGCTAGACGAACAGCTTGATTCCCTTTCATTGGTTACCAAACTTATCACTGCCTCAAACTTAATTAATTTCAACTTTCTACCTTGTCTCTACTGTAGAATCAGTCAGCACTAGGCACCAGGCATCACCCTTTGAATATTTCTTTACCTTGACTAGCTATATATTTATATCGTCACATGCACAACGGGCCCGTTTCATATTTACATGCGTTGTTTTAAAATACAGTTGTAACTATTTAAGAAGAATATACATTATTTGAATTTTATAATAAATAATTTTTAATTTTATTTTATATTTAAATTTTTATTATTTTAAAAATATTATTTTTAATTTTAAATCAGTTTATTATCGGATCGGATTAAGATAGATACGGATTTGATTCATTTAATAAACAGATTAATAAATTTAAATCATAATCAAACTCGGATAAAAAAAATTATTTATCGGAAATCAATTTAATTATATCGGATTCGAGTTAAGATCAGATCCATTTACGGTACTAGTTGTCTCCTAATAATGTTACGTGAGCTATATATATTAAATTAAATGTAATATCAATTCAACCAATATAGCTGATTCACAATAATTATTACCTATTTTCTTCTTTATATATACATCCTCTCTTTATGCTTATTGTAATAAACAATGCTTTATTGTAACACAAAAAAGAAAAAAAAATGATAATGTGTAGGCCGATGAAAAAAAAAACACTTTCGGATAATAAAAAGGAGAAAGACAATACATACCATGCATGCCAAATAAAACATACTAGAATTGAATCCATGATAAATGGTTATCAATGGTTTGAAGGTGGAGTAACAGGAAGATTGCTTCCGATTTTATAAGTTAAGTTTCTGATTTTACAAGTTCAATTTTTATTTTTGAAAAAGAGCACTTTTTTGTAGTACTAGTCACTAGATATAAATTAATGATGGATTAAAAAAATTCAACTTTTATAATCGATTAAAAAATAGACATAATTAAGTATTAATATAGTTCAAATAGTAATAAATTTAATCTTAATCGATATAAAAATCGACTAATCATTAAAAAAATAATATTTGATTAAAAATCAAATCAATTACATAAGTATTGTTATTGAGCAAAAACTCATATAATAAAGATAATTCTATTTATTAGTTACTTGGAATATATAAAGCAAACTGTTATATATATATAGAAAGTTGTGAACATATGGAGTTGTGCACCGGAAAATGGGGGCCGCATGAACTGACTCAATCAATACTTCCTCAGTTGACTATTTAATTGTACTGATGCGATGCATGCAGGGGTATATATCTTAAAGCAGCTTGTACGCAGAAGAACCACAAAAAGTCATGCAAGGTGGTTAATGCTAGCCACCTTCTTCATCATCCTTTTTTTTTTTTTTTTCATGATAAAAAAATACCATAACAAATTAGATATATCGGATTCCTGCAATCACCAGTTTCTAATTTCACACACACATATATAAAATATGTTATTTTTTATTAGAAATATTGAAATTAATTTAACAGTATAATTTCTAAACTATAAATAGAAAAGGATGAATATGCATATTTGTTTATTTTATTATGCACGAATTTTTTTTTAATTAACCCACCTTGCGGGTAATCTACAGGTTATCAATTATGTTACATAATTTTAAGGGATTGATCTATGATTAAAAAAGGTTATTTTTTTAAAAAAAAACTTTTTAGGCTTAAATTTTAAAAGTAACAGTTAGTAGATTTAAATTTTCTTGAATAGACCAGAAAAGTATTTAATCTTTGTTAATAAACAAGTTGACTCAAAAATATATTTACCGTTGAATAAAAAAAATCAATTCTATTATATACTCTCGTTGACTCATGAATTATGATGGATGCTTGCCAAATTAAAGTAAATTAATGGTTCATAATTGCTCAACAATATCTAATATATATTTTATCTATAGTCGTGTTGACCGATATTTAGTTCGGACTTCATATCTTTCAGCGCGCCAGCTGGTACGGTCGGGGTCACTAGCTCTCATCTCATCTGGCTGAAAATATGTTCAAAAAGACAACAACAAAAAAAACTGCTCGCATGCAGTGTTATATATATATAATTGAATCAGCTAATCCTTGATGATGCATGACGTATCCCATATATATAAACTAGCCAGCAGTTTGCTTCTTATAGTCAACTACAAACTCAAATCTAATTTGTTTACCCTGCTATTTAATATTAATTACTGCATGCTGTGATTTAATTTCAGAGGAAAATTAATGAAAATATTTATATAATGTCTACTTGTGTTTTCAATTGATTTGCTGACATAAGATTGCAATGGGTAGAGGTGATTAGTTATTGCTTTGTTTTTTGGAATTTTCCTTTGACGAATGTGGTAATTATTATTATTATTATTATGACTTCTTTGAAAAAATTGCAAAATGAAGGGTGACTTTGAAACATTTTATCAAACTTCGGAGTGCCAACCACCGTTGTAAATATCATAGTTCGAGGATAAATGGACAGCGACGGAAAAAAAAAAAAAGGTCTTGTTTTGGAGGGGTCTGCGTCGTACTAAAACTTGTTTAGTAATAATATTTTATTGACATATTAATTTTTCAGATAACTACAAATGCATGCATAACTTTTTATGAATATGCATAAATATAGCTAAAGGTTTTATGTCTAAATCCCCAGGCCCAGCCCTTATATCTAAAATAAGATGAAACAGAAGCTATTAAATTACTCCCATCGTTCTAAACACATTGTTTATTTTTTTACTTATACATGTTTTTATCCGGTCAAAATTTTAAATGCTGTATTTTTAAAAAATACTTTTAGTTAAAACTTATTTTATAATAAAATTTCTTTTTTTTAAAAAAAAATACTATTATGACATGTCAATTAATAAAATTTTTAATCTGTATAAAAAAATCAAAAAAATAATTTCTTGTAACAAAGCAATAATATAGACTGATGCAAAAAAGTTAATTCCATAATTTCTTAAAGCTTTTTTCTTTTTGGGTACATAAGATGTAAATATATATAGATATATAGACTATCGATCCTAACTCTCTAGTTGAGAATATCGCATATATTTATATCATACTATCTTTTTATTTTAAAAAATCTATTGTATTTAATTACATGGAGACTATAAGTACTTATAATCTTTTCAGAAATAATTATGATCATACAAGAAAATATAGAGAGGTCAATAACTATATATTATTGTAAGTAAGATTAAGCTTTTAAACTTACATGGGAGTGCTACGTGAGGAAATATAAAAGATGTTAACACCAATTTTCTACCCTATGCATGGCTATGGTTAAGTTAAACTGATTAAAATAGACTTGAACTGCAGGCTGAAAGGGACGGATAGATCGATGTTTATATATATATGGTGAGGGTCAAATTCGGATGCTAGTTTGCTGGAGTCAAAACAATTAATAATTTACGAATGAGGTCATTTTTATCTTTTCATGCAATGGGTTAGTTAATAAATTAAGTCAATTGAAGTTCGTCTTCGATCTTACGCATTTTCAAAACAAATCTATTTTACTTTTTAATGTTTAACATTATCATTAGTGATCAAAATCTTGAAAGAGTCTGTAATAATTTTTTATGAAGATGACAATTTAGATGTAGACGTGAATGATTTGCTTACAACTTTATAAAAAAATTAGGGATCATTCTTACATGTGATGGCTATTAAATTTATGCTTTCTTTATCGTTTTTTTTTTATCATTAGAAGGAATAAGATAAAAAAAAAATTATTATTTATTATTTTTTTATTTTTGAAAAAAAGAGGTAGAAATTTGACTTATAGGGACTTAATCGGAAATAAAAATCATTTAAGGACTAAATTGTATTTACTATAAAACACGAGGACCAAAACTTTCAAATAAGGACATCTTGGTCAGAAAAATAAAGGCAAAGTAAAAAAATAATAATAATAAAGTTGGTTTAGGTAGTAAAATGAACATTACCGAAAAACTGATGTCCGGTAATGGCATCGGATTTTTTTAATTAAGGACAATATAGTAATTGATGCCCTACTGAAATACGAAGCGTAGTTTTCTGCCATATGCAAGCCGTAGAGGTAAAAGCATTGAAAAACGTTGAGCTGACATTTATAAGAAAAATATTGTAGAATTGTTTTTTTTTTTCAAGTGATCTTAAGAATGTTTTGAAATTGCTTTTTTTTTTTTAAAGTAATCTTAAGGACTGTTTCATTTTGTTTTAATGATGTTATATATATATATATATTCGAACAATTTGTATATAAAAAAAATTAAGTATATATAATAAAAAAATAAGGATCGTCTTTGTTAAAGAATAATATAAATTATATTTTGAAACCTCACTTAACAACTTAAACTTTTAGATGAGATGATGCTTTGAGAATCTTGAAATAACTTATTTATTAACCAAAATTGAGTTCTTATTCAAGTAAGTTTAAGAACGTGTCTTCTACATCAATCTACTACATCCATATGAATTTTAATAAATTTTATTAGATAATGAAACTAAATTTTAAACTCAAAAAAAAAAAAAACAAACAAACAAAGAGAACTCTTTCACCATTAAATCAAAATATTTTATGTAATTTAATGTAAAATAAAGAAATAAAAAACAGTAAAAAATAATGTCAAGCAGGAACCATCAAGTTCTTACAGCGCGATCACACTATGTTTTGATGTTTTCAGCTTAAACCATGGCATGACAAGCAATAAGTTGGGCTAGTCTCTCAGCGAGCATTGTTCTATGGCCAAGTTTCAATGTTCAACGGTTCTTCGGCCTGCAAGAGCCAGCCCTTACAAGGCAGGCTAAGGTAGAGAAGTAAGTGCCCTTACGACCACGCGTATGCCTTACAATGCTTACCTCCATCTTTAAAAAGAGAGATCTGAAAATCAGCTTTAAATGATATTCTAAACGAATCAATCATTGACAAAAGAAAATAGCGGAAAATCCTTTTTCGGCAACTTGGAGATTTAAGTGGCCATAAAAGTTAGCCAGCGGCACGCCTGTAACCCTTAAAAGTTACGTCTTACATAGTTGAAGCACATCCATCACCAAACTTCAATACATGTAGTGCCAACTTTTTGCACCTGTCCTGTCCTTCTATAATTACTTGCCAGCTACCCCAAACATGGTGAATCATATGATCATAAGCTCACCATATATCCACTATTAAATATTAACGATGTTATTGATTCTTCTTGTCTTTCTCTAAGAATTATATATGGTGGGAGACATAATGACTTGGGCTGTTGGCCATTGCGGTTATTTTTAACTACCTAATTATGATACCTTTTATATATATATATATATATATATATATATATAATTGATTAAATCTCCCGGAGGCTAAAATGCAGCCCAAGGTTTCAACATTCCATCTGCAAAATAATTAAGAGCAGCACAAGAAAAAAACAACAGCTCAGAGAGACTAGCTAGAAATGAAAAACCAGTCCTGGCCATAACAATCACACAGAGTCAAAAATATACTCAAAGCCAACAACAAATTAAAGACCACCAAAGCAGCGGCAACCGGACCCCAAAAAAAACTAAAAAGCCTGAGCATAGATGAAAGAGCAACCCAAAGAAGCCAAAACCTTGACAGAAAGGAGAAAACAAGAGGGAGCCGATCGAAGACATACGCATAGATTTCATAATTAAAGTTGTTAGAGAATAATATAAAACATATATTGTGATTTCACTTAACGGCTTAAGTTTTTAGATATGATGACCTCTTGACAAATATAACATAGTCATCCAATTCTAAAGGATAAAGGACCCGATTGCATTTACTAAAATCTTCTCTATTACCTCCATCTTAGTTTCAACAAATATACAACAGACAAAGCGTTAAATATTATATTTTTCTTCAAACCAAAAAAGATAGAGTTTTTATGGCAAAGTGGTTAACTGATAGAGGCCATTTCTACTTGCATAGTCTTTCCCTATGACACATATTGTTACAGTTGCAATCTTCCTCCAAGATGGATTCTCTCACACAATCCCAGCGGCCAGTATACTGCTTAATTAGCTATGACATTCTATATCATATTAAATGGAGGAAAAGAAACTTATGGTGGCTAAAGATCGTTTGACGATCAATAAGCTAAAAGGTAAGAGACAAGTGGAATCCTGACTCAAAATAAAATGAAAAGAAAAAAAGTTTCAAAATATATACCTTAATTCTTTTTATTATTGAATAGTAAAGATAGTTTTGGGACAGCATGCCCGTCAATTGAGTGATTAATTTTAAGAAGAGACACGTGAAAAATTTTAAGCTAATTGAATATGTATTTAATTATATATACTTAATAAATTAAGTGAAAATAATGAGATTCAATTTCATAATTAGAAAGATTTTAATATTCTAAATGATTAATTAAATTTAAAAATTTAAACTATGAGGTGTATATATATATATAAAGCAGTTGTATTGATTTTAATTAATGGTATTGGAAGTGTGGAAATATATTTATATGAGAATCCATAGCCAAGAGACAAACCTTTATGCGTATGTATTATAAATATTATCTAAATTTCTTTAATTATCTTCGTCCAAGAATCTAATGCCTTGTTGTAAAGTGCAAGTTCAGGAGATCAGATAGGCTTCAGTGCTACAGATCCCGGAGAGGTTTTCCTTTAATTTAAGGGGAAACTGTACCTTTTTAATTCTTTTCCTTTTCTTTTCGGATCAGACAAAGGGAAATTTAATTACTTCAAGATTGCTTTAAGAGCATCAAAAGAAAAATTAAAGAGAAGTTGATCCTATATATATAGTCTATTGCTATATTCTTGTTCGTGATGCCTAGCTTGCTAGCTTGTGATCATTTCAATATATATATATATATATTTCTTAATATCCTATTGCAACGAGAGGTTAGTCTATAATAGCGTTTGGTACAATCAGAGTACCAAAATGTGATATGTCATTGGTTCTTGACATGAGATTGGTTGCCAGGCAGGAAAAAAGGAGATTTCTTGACCAATACTGTGGGCTGGCATAAGATATGGTACTATAAGCCACTTTAAGATTTAAGGTTAGGATTTCCTTAAACCTAAAAAATTAAGGAAGGAACTGATTGTGATTGAACAGAATGCATAACTCTCAACTAATTTTTAAATCAGTCCCTCTGTTATAAAAAGAAGTTTTCTGTATAAGCTGCATGCATGGTTAGCATCAAAGAAATTAATCGAACGGTCGAGCCCTTAGCACACATGGAATCTCTCTCTAACTAGGTATTAGGTGGGGTTCCAAAGAAGATGAAACATATATATATATATATATATATATATATATATATATGTTTGTTAATTGTAAAAGTGATATTCGAACTTCAGATTTCTTTCTTAAGGGAAGAAAATATGAATATCAGTTGACTTAATTATAAATTTATTGAAATGATTTCTTCCATGCGTTAATATGAAAATGAATCTAATAAATTAAAAAAGAATGAACTAAATTAACTTCATCTAAGCATAGTTAGATTGTTGGAGTTTAAGAGAAATTATTTAATATATAGAGAACTGTACTCATTCTCGCAAAAACATAAGATCTAATAAGAATTATTTTCACAAGATATAGATCATGCTGAATGCATATTGAAAATCATTTCAATGTTAATCCCCTAATAAATAATATAATATATGAAGTTGTTAACGTTATGTCATTAACTATAACCATCAAAGTAACTTTAGTCTCTAATTTTTATTGTCAAGTTGGAAATTGTTAGTACAATATTTTACATTTTATTTCATGGTTCCGCATATATTTTGTCTAGCAGTCAATTAAATTATCTTTTCATACATTTAGTGCAATGTACACGAAAGAATATTACTGACAGAATGATTATATATTTCTAAAGAGATCAGCTTCCCTCATGCCTCTATCTAATTATAAGCAATTTGATTATTAGTCTCTAAATGGATTAATTTGAAAATCCATCGATTTGCATTAAATCACTATAGAGACCTTCTTCTTTTTATTCTTTTTTTTATTCAAATATTTCCATCCTACGTTAGATATAACGATGTACATTGATAAAAAAAAAAAAAAAAAAAAAAAAAAAAAAAACAACGTTTAGAGACCAACTGGCTTACCGTTAGGGTTTTTTTTTAAAAAAAATAAATAAATATAGAGACGTCCTTCTTTAAATAGCTAAGAAACTTATTCGAAAAATTGTTGGCATTGAGTAATTGAAAGATAAATAAACGAAAATTGCAACTTTTTATAACTTGTTCATCAAGCCTTGATAAATTCAAAATTTAATATTATATATACACATCAGCTACCAGTAAGAATTTCCTATATATCATCAAATTAATGAGTCAAGATCCAAATCTAGTAAGGATTTTGCAGTTCAAGACAAGTTTAAAATTCGTGCGCATTTTTTATTTAAACAAATGTGTAGCTATATAATAAGTTTAGTGGAGCAAGCATTTCCCTTCTTTTTTTTATCAAGAAAAAAAAAAAAAAACAACTAACAAACTTAGAGCATTCCATCAATTTCCTCTTGTTGCAGACTTCAGTCTCCTGAAAGCTACTAAACAAATTAAACAGAAATCTTTAACCAAAGTGTTAATGGTGTTGTCTAATCACATCCATGCTCTTTCCTTATAAGTTCAAATTCATTTTCGATGAATGGTTGTAAGAAAGGTCTTTGAATTGGAATGAATCGACATTGCTGAACTTGCCATTTATAGAAATTATTCGCATGCTTTACTTTTCTCAATTCAACATTACATTAATGTCTTCCAAACCCTACCATGTGCACCAAAAACCCTATTTTATGTTCATGTTGAAATTCACGAGGTGCCATTCGCATTACCTTAAATACTACTCTCATTTAGCACCTTCACTCATCAAATTATAACATTTCATGTGTAGATTGCAAAACAAATTCTGGAAGCTTGCTTGAAAGCTTGATTTCTCTTTCTCTCTTATCTTCAATATTTCTCGTTTGCCTCTTATCAATATATATACCATCATTGATTATGGCAGACAAGACCTGCAGCTTCATTTTAACTTTCTTCACTTTTCTCCTTCTCCTCTTGCACCAACATTTCGACTTGACGGCAGCATCAAGGCCGCTAGACATTCACCCGCCAGCTATCCCTTTATCAGGCTCTTTAAGCAAGTGGGAACCTCCTTCTAATGATATTCGTGATCGTTGGTATCGTATAAATCGTTACAAGAATCTTGAGAACGATGCTTTCAGGCCAACGACTCCAGGCCATAGCCCTGGTGTTGGTCATGATAATCCACCAGGTGCTCCCTGAAAAGTGACACAAGAATAAGTAGTGCTACACCCAAAGACGTGAGGAACTGGCCCATGGTATATGGATATGATGTTATGCATGCATAAAAAAATAACAAGAATATTGAGTGCAGGGTTTTCATTTCGGTACGGTTAGGGTTTTGAAGTTATATGTATTTGGCTTGCAAAAGAGTGAAGGTAGTAATTAGAAGGCATGCATGCTCTAGTTTTTTTAACCATGTACAATACAAATGGGAGATCGATGATCGATAGTTTTCACTGATACAAGTTTTGAATGTTATTAATTTTTCTTATGGAACATACATTCCATTTCCCCTTTTTTTCATATTATGATCGGATATTTTCAATTCAAGAACTAGATAAAAAAAAAAAAATCCTTCATGCTCTCAAAAAGCAGAAATTAAAAAGAGCATGTAGTATATAGTCGCTAGCTCTTCAAAGAACAACTTAATTTTGTTGTCTAACAACATTCTACTAATTACTGTGTGAAAAAAGAGTGTTACCAATAGTTCCACATTCGCAATTATTTGTCAATTAATGTCTTTCGTAATAAAGTAAAGTCAATTAGATGTATTGGGGGGAAATAATTGTATGGACAACATCTCAATGCACCAAGCAAAATGTGTATGAGAAGTACACCTTTAAAATATCTGATAAAAAAATTTAGGGTCAATTAAAATACAAGTTAGGTGGCTGAGATATTTCATATCGTTGTGTATATATATATATATATATAGCTGCAAAAAGCGGTAAAAAAAGTTATTGATTAATTGGCTTCTTTTGGTATGTGTAACCTAACTATCCTACTTCCAATGATCACTAAGTTGCTATAACCTTGAATAATTTGGATAGAGTGCATCGATCTAGGACTAAAATCCCACTTAGTTCTTGTTCACATAAAGAGCTAGCGTCATGTATATGGTTAATATTAATTTATGCCTTTTTGCGAATGTTGAATAATGCCTTTGTTTATGAATTTTGTCGATTCTAGTATGCACCACTTTCAATACCAGCCCTCTCCTTGACCTTAAAGCTTTAAAATTTACTATTTTATGTAGAGATAAGCTTATTTGCCTAGAATCTGATCTTCGTAATCAAAATCTCTTTACTAACCGTCTATATAAGCATTGTTTATTGGTGTGCCAACCTAAAGAATGCGATTGATAATAACTATACTCACGTTTATCGCCAGCGCCTACCCCACCATTATTTGTTTCCATTACCATACAAATACATATGATTCCAATAGTTACTATATTTTCTTATATATTAATGGAAATTATTACTGTCACATTAATTTTTTTTTCCCTCCTTTGCCAGCCTAAAATCAGATTCAAGTCTTGTTCTATATATATATATATCCTCACTCAAAATACAAAGCAAAAAAAAAAACCATTGTTATGCTAACATGATGCATGTATCATCTCAGTTTAATTTTAACGATTTAAATTAAATGAAGGACTAAGATTTTATTACGGTTTATTTAACTAAATCTACTTCCTCTTATATTTCAAATTTAACTATACATAAATCTATTTCTTTTTATATACTACCAAATTAACTCATTCTTATAAAATCTCACCACTATGTTCTCCATATGTATAATTTTACTCATTAATCGATGTAAACAGAATGTTTTCATTTTTATTGTCGCTACCCGACGTCGGACGAGACTTCTCGAAAATATCTAAAATTAAATTAAATATTTACAAGTTTATTTACGAGTTTGGAGTCGCCACCTAGTATTGAAGTAACTAGGAACCTAAAACGAACATTGGTTTAGAGATTCTATAGTAAGGAGTTGATTACGCTTTTGGAAAGATATCGATCACCTAAAAGCATCATTCCCAAAAAAAGATACCACATCTGGTTTAGCTCTAAATTTATCTCCTAAAATATTTTATTTACGTCAAATTATTTTCCGATTCTTAATCTCCCATTTTTTTTAGACAAATTGAATTTTTTTAGTTTGAGCGTGGCATTGTATTGAAACGATCGTTGGTCCCCTTCATCGGGCGACACGTCAATTCAAACATCGGATCCACTTAAAAGCCTTGACACAACCGGCATGTCGAGAGGACGTCTTAATTAAAAAGTGATTTTTGGTGACGTCGGCCACTATCTAATAGGAGGATTCGTCGAAAATTTTGAATTTGGTGACGTCGGTCCCTATTAGATAGGAGACTTCATCGAATTTATTTATTATATGTTTTTTTGTGTGGCGTCGGTTCCTACCAATTAGGAGGCTTCGCCAAAATTTAGATTTTTTTTTATGACGTCGGTCCCTATCGGATAGGAGACTTCATCAAGATTTTTTTTTTAGCAATTTCTAGCGAGTACATATTAAAGAAAAAAATTGAAATAAAAATTCTAAATTAATATTAAAAAAACAAGAAATAAAAATAAACGAGGCCAAAAAAAAAAATCATCATATACCTAAACCACAACTTTTACTTTCTTTTTTTTTTATTACCCATCCCTTTTTTTCTCCTTGTATTTTTTCTCTTCCTTTTACTAATTTTTTCCTAATTCTATTTTTTATTTCTTTATTACCCTTTTTTTTTTTTTTTGAAAAATGGGCTACGAGTTGGACTTCTCCTTTTCTTTTGGGGTAAAGGGTGTGAGTCAGGTCGAAATCAACCCGACCCCCTTTTCTTTTTCTTTTCTTTTTTTGCCTCGGGTTGCGTTGGGTCGAGATCGGTCTAACCCCCTCTCTTAATTCCCCGACTAGGCTCAAGCCCACAAACATATACATAAGTTAAAATTCCAAAAAATCCGATCAAACACGGCTCCCTAGCCATTCTCTCTCCTGTTCTTCCTAATCTTTTTATTCTCTCTGTTTTTTCGAGTTTTTTAGAAATTGAAAGCTTCCTTCAAAACAAAACGTGTCATGTTCATGTTCTCACCTCCCTAACATATCGAATTCATACTCCGAACAAATAATTAACAACCAATTGAAACGAAATCAAAAACTAAAAAAAAAAAAAAAGAAGATGCCGACGACAATTTATCGATGACGAGGATTGCTTACTAGACCGGAGAATTGAAATCTAAGGTGATTTCTAGAGATCCCAAGGATTATTCGTTGGACTCGGATACTCGGGCGGATTGGAGAATGAAGAATTAGAGTTCAACGAGTGTGAAAAACATCGAAACCCGAAACCCGGATGAATAAGAACATTCAAGTGCTTGCCTAGAAAAATTGGCAAACAAAAACTAAAAAAGACGTTAATTGAAGCTTCAAACCTAGAAATTAAAGTTAGAGAAGTTGTGTAATTGCACTCAAACCGAGAAAAATTGAGTAACGAGTCCAAAAAAGGATGAACTCAAAATCCGGAATGAAGAACACGAAGAACACTCAAACCTAGGAACCCGGAAAAACCTAGAAAACCCAACTCGCTAAAAGATCAAAATTTTGTTTTTTTTTGGCTTTCGATTTTCACCCTCTCTCAACCCGAATTCCTTTTCAATTCCCCCCTTTTTTCTGTGAAATTCAAAACGTTTTATAACATAAAATTTCTTAAAATTTCTCCGAGAATCGAATCTCAAATCCCGAAATTTTATGTCAAAATTTTTCCTCTTTAATTCATTATTAATGCAAAATCAAAACAGGAAATTGCTTGATTTTCCGTTGGTATTAATTCCATCCAATAATGCATAATCAAATAGAAAATTTGACCTTGGATTTGGCGATTTCTCCAAAGATTTTTGGAGAGAATTTGCCTTGGAGTGGACGACAGGTTGCCTTCTCCATTTTGGTCTTGTCGTTCGCTCCAAACTTTCGGTTTGGTCCTCGAGTTTCAATTTCAACAATTACGCTCTTTGATGGTATAATTTCAGCACAATCTCATCAATTAGGTCCCCGGGAGGTCCAATTTAAGGCCTAATTTTTTAATTGACTCGATTACACCCCTAATTACTTCAATTGTGTCCCTCGATAAATTTTTTTTGTTTTTTTATCATTTTCTTTCCTTTTCTTTTCTTTTCTTTTGTTTTTTAGTAAACTTCAAATTAAATAAAAATAAAAATAAACATAAATAAAAATAATATATAAAATAATAATAATAATAAACAAATAAATAAAATAAAATAAAAAATAAAAAATAAGGGAAATTTTGGGATATAACATTTATAATCAACAATATTGGATTATGAATTATAATTTTACTCAATTATGGAAGTGAAACATTATACCATTAACTTTAGTCAATTGTTAGGAAAAACCATATGTATGTATGTATAATCTCTTTCTCAATTATTCTATTTGTGAATTTCTTGAATTTTCTTTCAAATACAATCAACAAGATTATGATCAAGTTATAGAAAAATAAAACTCACGTAATAAATCAAAGTAAAACCGGAGTACGACTTGAAAATTTAATTAATTGCAAGTTGTAAAACTTTTAACATGTAAACCTAGAATTTAATTAATAAGATAAAGAAAAGGACATTTTATATTAGAAAGCACAAGACTTATGAACGAGTAAGACTAAAAAAACTCATTATGCATAGGTACAAATAAAAATCAACAATGATAAAAATTTAATGACAAAAAAAAAATCACAAAATAAGAACCAAAACAGAAAGAAATTTTTTTTCTAAAAGCCAAAAAAGACTTAAGATGGTGAAACTATATTTAATTTTAGTATGAAAAGAAAAAAAATCAAATATAATAAAACCTTAATGATCAAAATAAAAGAAAGATTACAAAAGAAATATCCAAACATAACAAAAAGTTTAAT